CCTGAAAATAACCGTTTTGTCATGATGGTTGAGTTATGCTGAGCTATTAGGGTCTTCAACACGGATGAGATTGGCGAGCTGTATGTTGTTTGGGACGAGGGTGACACGCTTGCCATAGATGACCCACAGCAGCTCACGACGAGCAACTGAATCCGATCAGTAGCGGTGCGGCTTTTTCCTCCTTCTTCGGTGAATGGACGCTCATGTGGATTGCAACTCGCTGCTTGCGGGTAGCCTTTCGTTGTTTACTCGAGAACAATGTTCAACGCCACGCGCCGAAAGCACTGCTGCTGCTGCTGATGATGATGATGATGACGACCGACGGGTGATTGAATAAGCACCGTTCGGCGAGACCGGATGGAATTAGATTTTGAAATATGTGTTAGAGAAAGCGCTTTTTGCAGGCAATCGGTGATAATTATGATCACCATTGCAGCAGTTGGACATTTATGTAATCTTCAATAATGACCTATTGAAAATTGATAAAGTGTTCATTTCAGCAGATTCGAAGTTAAATTTTCAATCGATTAGCTTGTTTAGAATTAAAATCCATCCGCTATTGTCAAAGTTATAAGCAGACTTGATGGAGCCTCGCTCGCGAGTTTGAAATGAGCCGAGCGTAGCATTTTTTTTGGGGAGTAGAATGCCTACTGCCAAATCATTCAACTGAGCTTCAGAGCTTGTGAGCGAAGAGGGATGAATTGAGAGTGAGGCTTGCTGCCATTCATGTCCATGTTTTCTATCACACGCTCTTACTTCTTGCGTCGAACAAAAAAGTCATCCGGAGTCTCGAAAAGCGCACCTCACGCCAAATCATCCTCTCGCTGAAGCTCACTCTCCCTCTCTCTCTCGAGGAGTTTTTGTTTGCTTCTTCCATATTCCTGCCGCCACTCACTTGAGGTGAGGGCTGAATAAACTCGCAGGACAAGAGTTTTTAAAACCTCCAATGAGTTTAAGGAGTTGCAGCAAGCCTGGTTATAAGTGGTTAAAACCTGACCACTTTTCGTAAGGCGGCCGATTTTGATTTTTTGGAATTGCCGAAAGACGTAATCCTACGCCAAAAAACAGAATCGTATATTTTTTCAACAATCTGAGGACTGAGAAAAATACTCAAAATGAGGAATTTTGAAAAATGTTCAAGATCCTAGATTTGAACCAATCAATTATTATAATCGGCCCTGGAAAATTGTCAATGGTCTGGGACTTGAATAATTTTCAGGTTTCAATTAAAGAATAATCCATAGAATTCTGAAAATGTTCTGATAACTTATGGGATTTTGAGCGAAATTAAAAAAAATTAGAGTTCATTTAAAAGAAATGTCGAAAAGGATTCCTACAAAATTCCAGGAAATATTCTATTGAGTTTTGCCTAGAATTCCAACCTAATTTTGAGATGAATTCCAACGGATTTTTGGGGAGAAGAAGGCAAATTTTAACCTTCCTATGGTGGTCGGGTCATAACTTTTGGCGGTTACCATTTATCGCTCTCAAATTTTGTGACTTTTAATCTTTTATGGAAAACACAATTTCTCCGTTTTGACCGAAATTTGTGGATGTTTCTGAAGGGATTCTAAAAAAATACATTTAACGTGTTCGGGTCATATTGACCCGGATTTGACCCAGCGATTTCGGTGCCATATCCGGAGTGTTTTGAGATTTGGGCGTAATTGCTTTTCTAAACAAAGACGTCAATTGAGGATTTCTCTTGAATTAAAGCTCAATCTCATAAACAAACTATACCAAATGATAGAGGAATCATTCCTCTACCTCATAGCGTTATTAGTTTTTGAGATTGCGCTTTTAATCGCGAGAAATCAGTGATTGACGTCTTTGTTTAGAAAAGCAATTACGCCCAAATCTCATTATTACCAAATTTCAAATTCTTTGAACTCAAACTAATCTTTAAGGCATAAATTTTGTGAATCAGTCCAAAAATATAGCATTGAAAGGAATTGACCACTCGGAATCGGTGGCGAAATAACCAAGGTTTGGTTATTTCTTTGGAACAGGTTCCGGAGGCATCGTAAATGTGGCCAATTTATAATTTTCATAGAACCAATTCGTGTGATACTTCAACATTAGCAGAATTTCATGCAGAATTCAATAGAAGCCATACCAACATGTCCGGGGCAACTTGGCGGTGGTCTCGAAACAGGTTCGGAGCCCTGGGAAGGTTACCAATTTCTAATTTTCATAGGACAAGTCGAGTGACACCTCAATATTCACAGAATTTCATGGAGAATGCATCAGAGGCCTTGTAAACTGTCTAAAGCAACATTGTCCACCTGGTGGCACCAGTACAGATTCCGGAGGCACCGTATATGTGGCCAATTTATCACTTCCATAGAACCCAGCCAAATTTCACGAAGATTTCATCATAGACCATGTCAGCATATCTGAAGTAACATCGGCCATCTCGGGACAGATTCTGGGAGATTTCGGGTGGTCTCGGAACAGATTCCGGGAGCCCCGGGAAGATGGCCAATTTATTATTTTCATAGAATCTATTCGTGCGACCCCTCAAAATTCGCATAATTTAAAAAAAAAAATTCATCAGAGACATGTCAGGGCAACATTGGCCATCCAGTGACCTCGGTACATGTTCCGGTAGCCCTGGAAAGGCGGCGACACATCAAAATTCGCATAATTTCATGAAGAATTCATCAGAGGTCATGTCAACATGTCCGGAGAAGCAATGACCATTCCGGGAACCCTGGAAAGGTGGCCAATTTATAATATTCATAGGACCAAATCATGAGACACCTCAAAATTCGCAGAATTTCATGTAGAATTCTTCAGAGGCCATGTCAACTATCTAAAGCAACAATGGCCACCTGGTGGTCCCAGAACATGTTCATATTGTTTTGAAGCAGGTTCATAAAATTCTACGAATTTTGAGGTGTCGCTCAAATTGGTTTTATTAAAATTATAAATTGGCCACCTTTCCTGGACTCCCGGAACCTGTTCCGTGATCACCGGAGGGACAATGTTATCCCGTAAATGTTGATATGGCCTCTATTGAATTCTTCATGAAATTCGGCAAAATTTTGCGGTGCCACACGGCTTCGTTCTATGGAAGTGATAAATTGGCCACTTTTACGGTGACTCCGGAACCTGTTTCAAAACTACCATGTGGCCAATGTTGCTTGACATAGCCTATGATGAATTATGAATCCTGTGAATTTTAAGGTGTCGTACGATTTGGTCCTATGAAAATTATAAATTGGCCACCTTTCCGGGGCTCCTGGAACCTGTTCCGAGATCACTGGAGGGTAAATGTTGTCCCAGACATGTTGGCCTTTGATGAATTATTCATGAAAGTCTGCAAATTTTTAGGTGCCGCACAGCCCAGTGGCAGGCGCGTAGGCAACATGTTATACCGTGACAGTGCGCCCAGCACAGCAAAATAAACAATTTGAGCCCGGGACATGCTGCCTACTGTCAAACGCTACTGTTGATATAGGCCTTATCACTGGCCTGGTGCCGCACGACTTGGTCCTATGAAAATTATAAACTAACCACATCTACGGTGCCTCCGGAACCTGTTCCGGGGCCACCAGGTGGCCAACGTTGAATTAGATATATAATTTTCAGGTTTCACACGAATTGGTTCTATGGGGGCCACCGGATCCTGTTCAGTGGTCACTGAATAGCCTATGTTTCCCTGGACAGTACACATGGGCAGTGAATTACATTCTGATTGCAAGTTACAACACATTCAGCCTTTTGAAATGCAACGCAGATACATTTTACGACACCTATTGTTAAAAACACACCCGTACAAAAATGGCCAAACCGATGGCCAAACCGAAAAATGGCCATCAATTCCGACCAATCCTAGATTTGTAGCTGGATTTACAAAATGTATGCCCTTAAGACTAGTTTAAGGGCTAAGAATTTTAAATTTGGCAAGAAAATGCTTCCGAAATCGTTGGGTCAAATCCGGGACAATATGACCCGAACACCTTAAACGCAACTTTTTGTAACTCAATAGGAAGGTTAATCTGATTTCCTAGAATAATTCCAAGGGAGTTGTGAGGAGAACTTCAAAGAGGGATCTTGAGGAAAACATCAGGTTAATTTTAATGAAAATCTTTATGAGAATTCAAAAAGAAATGCCATCTAAACACAACTTAAACTTGTAAAAAAAATGAAATATTGTCTAAGCATGGCCAAAATAGATTGGTAATGGGTTGAGATAGTGATACAGGTATACCTCGATATAACGTAACTGTCGCTTTTGACTTCCACCGCTGATTTTTCGTAAGCGATCATTCAAACGAGCAAAGAAATAGCACCATCGGACAGATGCGATAATCTCCCATCTATTAATATTATTAATTTGTATGATTCAATTGTTATTAGCGAGATATTGACGACGTTATATCGAGGTATACCTGTAGTGCTCAAACGTTAAACCACAGACAAACAGACATAACACATTGAATATTTCTCACTGTAAAACATCGTCGCTAAAAAAAACATTACCGTCATCTGTTGAGTACACTGTGGTGGGTAGTACGCTGAATAGATGGCGGTAGTGTGCAACCGTCAAACGCAAGGGAATTGACTATGCATGCACAGGTGGCGGTACTACCAACTATGATACTTTCAAATTGACCGTTGAATGCTTGTTCGATGAACAACTTGCGAGTGTTATGTCTGTTTGTCTGTGGTTAAACTGAACAGCATTGAAGGGTGCTACGTTTCTAATTAAAAACGCTCTATAACCAGTTACAAAGCAGCGATCTACACTTACGCCATTAAAAGCTACGTGCCACATTGCTGATTAATTGTCTTTACACAGACGTACACAATATGCTATAAACAGTAGATTTCAACATAATGAATTTCAAATGTTCTGTAGCTGCCAAGTTTTCGTTATGGTATTTAAAAAAAATACAAATTACAAATGATTCAATCACAGACATTGAAAATCACCTACTCAAACCGGAAAGACATGCATATTTATTGAACACTTCGTTTGTCTATTCTTTCAGCGATCACGAATATGAGCCAATCGGTGAGCCAGTTGACGATAAACCAACCGAAGCGAAGCCTACGGCAACTAAGGGCAGTTTGGTACCACCGACCGACGATCAAAACAGAAAACTGTCCAGCGCCTCGCTGCGTGTCCCAACCGATGAAGGCGATACGATCAGCATGGAGGACCTTCAAAAGGACATTGAGGATCGATACTTCAACCGTACCATGGAGGAACAAGCCACAACTGATGTAGCCGAACCGGTCGAGGGCTTAGCAGCTACACAGGAGAAAACTAGCAAAGTTAAGGCAGCCATGGCCCGAGCTCAGGAAGGTGGCAAAAAGGCAATGGCCAGAGCACAAGAAAGTAGCAGAAATGCAATGGTCAAAGCACAGGAAGGCAGTAAGAGCCTACACCAGAAGCTTCGGAAACAAACCGATAAATTCAAGACCAAAATGTCCCATATCAACATCAAGAAGGACAAAGATGTCGCTCCTCTAGCGACTCCAGAAATTGTTACGACACCCGAAATTGAGAGACTGGATTTCACTCTCGCAGAGCCCAAACCAGAACAGGAGACAGGCGAAATCGAACCCGCTCCGGTAGCAGCTAAGGAAGCTGCACAAGAAGCAGAAACCGAAGAAGGTGCCCCCGAAAATGGCACTACAAAGAAGAAATTCAGGGGTGCTGATTTTAGCAAAATCAAAAATATTCATATGCCGAAAATCCAGAAACCAGAATTCAAACGCCCAGAATTCACGAAGATCAGTAAACCGAAGATGCCTAAGCTCAAAACACCCGACATGTCCAAATTCAAGCGCCCGGAAATGCCAAAGTTCTTAACTGAAAAACCAGATTTCTCAAAGATTAAGATGCCTGAGAAGATCGGTACCATTAAGATACAACGAAGCAAATCTATGAAGGAACCGACCGTGTCTGCTGCTGCAAGTGCTGCGTCTCCATCGGACGCTGAGACACCATCGGTTATTGGCGCAGATGGTACTAAAAAGAAGCTGGATTATACTGATTTCAGCACCTATCCACGACTGTTGGACAAATTCAAGCGCCAAAAATCTACTCCTAGCAATGTGAGCGTACGGGCAGCTACTCCTCCGCCACTGGAGTTTACAAAGGCTGGTAAGACATCGCGATCCAAGGGCACCACAGTCGTCTCCAGATGGGCTGAGAAGTCATCAGAGGATGCAGGCAGCAATCGCTTCTTCTCTGGCAGTGAACTGGGCGAGCGTGAAGGATCTGTTGAAAGACGTATGCGTCAACGATTGGAAACAGCCGAATTAGAAGCTGCAGAACTTCCAGTTACCGCCGAACAGAAGCAACTTGAAGAATACGACAAAGAGAATCGCGAGATTCATCTTTTGTCTGCCGCCCGACATGACGAGTTTATGAAACGCAAACCACCTATGGAGCGTCAAGAATCTGACCTCGCGTCGGAGGAAGAGAAGCAGTTCTGGGCAAGCTCGCTGGGGCAGAAGATCAGACAGAATATTGATATGAATAGCAATGATTTCGATTTTCTCGATGAAGAGGATCGCCTTCGTACAGCTCGCGAAACTGAAACCATGGGACTGAGCGCACAAGATCGTGCAAGATTTCTGGGTGAAACAATAGGCGAACATTCGGAGAAGGATTACGACATGCGATCGACAACTCCCTATTCCAACAAAGAATGTCAGTCTTCTGGAAGCTCCGGTATCCGTCGTCGTAAAGGCGTTATTGAAGAAATTGACGACGACGAATTCTTCCTTCGTCAAAAGGGTATCTCCAAAGACAACATTCAAATGGGTGAATACATTAGTTCCGCTATAAAGGAAGGTCTGAGCACGCCTAAGAATGCACTGGCTGAAATGGGAAGGTACGACTCCTACTTCGACGACGAAGCAGATGCTAGTGAACGGATGAGCATGGAATATCGCGCAGAACAGGGTGCTGGAGGACGCTACTATCAGCCCAGCCTCGAATCGGATGACATTTCTAACAAACAGAGCTTCACTGATGAATTCCGCAAACAAGCTGACTTCTACAAAACATTCCCTCCAGATCGCCCCATGAGGAAGCATAAAAAATCATACAATGACGAACAGTATGATGAGGATGACCACCAAAAGGTACCTTATGATTCGTACCAACAGGAGCAGGAGGAGGAGGCCAATATGGATTTCTACAGAAGAGATCGTAAGTATGGTAGCGAACAGCCGGAAATCCACATTGAGCAAGAAGAACACTTCATGGATCAGGAAAGCGTAGGTAATGGATTTTTCCGCAACGGTACGGCCGTGCCACCAACGCCACCCAGGCGTCGCAAGAAGCGCTTCCGTGATGTCACACCATCAGATCTTGCACCATTCGGAAACGGTTTAACATCCAAGCCCATTTACAATAGCTTTACCATAGGACCCGAAACGGTACTTTGACATGTTTTAGTGTACCTTTCCGATTCCAAAGTTAAAATTTAATTGGCAACTCGTTTTTGGATTTCAGCACATTTTCAATGCCGAGATTCCATTGGCACAGGAGGAAAGTTTCACAACACCTTTGCCAACTCCAAGAAGATCGCGCTCACGATCACAGATTTCGAAGCTCAACGATGACGATAGAACCTCAAGAGGAGCGGAGTCCTACATCTTCGGAGCCGAAGACAACGCCCCGGTTAAGCATAACATCGATATGTCTGACTCAAACGGGTACGTATCGAAGGATAAGCTCTAAAGCAAACTGATTTGAACTTGATCCTTTGAACAGCTACGCAATCGTACGGAAAGAACCCCCGCCACGTCCACCAGCTCCGATCCGTCGTAGGAAGTCAACCCATTCTTTGGAAGAACATCGTCAATTCAGCACACTACCAAACTTCCATTCGGTGTCACCAGCTCGCCCGACCCGTAATTACAGTACGATAAATCCCAACAGACCCCCACGTGGTAGATCAGTTATAAGTTTGAACGAAAATCAAGCGTAAGTACTCTTTTCCAAGCATTCCGTGAATTCTATATTTCATGCTTATTATTTGTAGGCAACCATCGGGCATTAGCAAGGAAGATATTACTCAGTACGAAGAAATCGAGGCCGTCGATAATCAAGCTAAACTACAGCTTCAATCAGGTGAGGTTGTGAAAAAGATGAAAGATCGACCGCTACCTCCTCCACCGCGTCCACCGAGAGATACCAGAAAACCTCGTAAATTCGACCAGGATGACAGACATGACTTCGATGGAGGTGCTGAAAGGATAACACCCTTCGATATGATCGAAGCACGAGTGATTCAGGAAGTTGAAATCGCTATACAAACGGATCCTGTTTCTGATGATTTTGATCTGGATATTGAAGTATCCGAAACTATGGGTGAGGTTGACAAATCAGCCAAAACTCTCCAACAAATCTTGAAACAAGAACAACAAGCTGAGATAGATCGTGCTCGCCAACTGGCTGAGGCAAACAATTTAATGAGGGATATTCAGAAATTTAGAGATTCTTCGTCGTCGTTATCACAGCACGGCAGCCGACCGGAAACGCCATCCGCAATGTCGTTCGAGCGTAGAGTTTCAGCACCTTCTACTTCCCATATGATGGCATCTTTGAGTAACGAGAATCTTACCGAACAAGATTTGGCCAACATCGATGATGACAAGTTTATAGCAGAACTAGTGAAAAAGTACGTCTCGGAAGAGAAGGTCACTGACGGATTGAAAAAATCACAGAAACCAGCAGATGAGCCTAAGAGGAATTATTCTGCTGAAAAGATTGATTCGACCAGACTACATGAAATGGAATCAATGATTGTTCAGGAAAATATGCTGAAGCAAGAGATGAGAGTCGTTCAATCCGAACCATCCGCACCACCTCGGAGACGATCATTGGTAGCTTCCACTCAAGATATACCGACAAGCATCGAAATTCCATCCGATATGATCGAGGAAATTGTAGAACGACTAAGAACCAACGAACAACAGCACATAGCAGAACTAGAACAGCTACATCAACATCAGCTGGATGATGTGAGAAGAGAGCAAGAGGAGCAAAGAAAACTACAAGAGCAAAAGTTGGAAGAACAACAAAAGATACTGCTGGAACAGCAAAATCAACAGCTTCATGAAACTCAGCAACTTAAGGAACAAATTCTACAACAACAAGAACAGCAAACGTCGCTTCTTCTTCAACAGCAACAACAGCAACAGCAGTTGCTACTGGCTCAGCAACAGCAGCAGTTGCTACTCCAGCAGCAAGAAAAGGAGAGGGAGTTACAACGTGAAAGAGAACGCGAACTCCTTCGAGAACGTGAAATTGAGTTGGAGAAAGCTCGTGAAAGAGAACGGGAACTGCACCATGCCAGGGAGCTGGAATTGCAGCGAGCCCGCGAATTGGAACAGCAGAGAGCGAGAGAAATTGAACAGCAAAGGTTACGCGAACTGGAACTCCAACATACAATGCAATTGGAGCACCAACGTCTGAGAGAACTAGAGATGCAGAGAGCTCAAGAGGTTGAAATGCAACGTGCTCGGGAAGCTGAGCTACAGAGGGCTCGTGACGCAGAAATACAGAGAATTCGCGAAGTTGAACTGCAACGCGCTCAAGAAACGGAAATGAAACTTAAGGACATTGAACGCCGATTGATGGAAAGCCAAGCCAGCGAAACCCAAGGAGATGACGCTGTATCGGTTGAGGAAAAGTCAGAAACTGTAGCTGAATTGCTGCGTACCCAGGACGCGGAATTGTGTAAGCTTAAGGAAATCGAACGCAGAATGAGAGAAAATCAAGCCAGGGAAGATGAGGCTGCTTCATTTGAGCCAAAGTCAGAAACAGTAGGCAAGGAAAAGAAAGAAGCTACCGAGCCAGTAACAGTTGCATCCGGCGAAAATGTAGCTGCAGAATCTTCCCCAGTGCGTCCACCACCACCACGAATAAGCTCTCATATACCGATGGCATCTCAATTCCCTTACCAGGAATATTTGCCATACGCACTTCCACCACAACCGTTCTATCCTGCTAGAAATTATTCCGATGAAGAAGGAGCTTACCCACAAGCGCCTCACCGTCGCCGAAGACATCACCGCTCCAGAAGGGAATCTACTTCGGAGGAGGAATTCCAGCGTGAACAACGGAAACAACGCCACGAAACGCGCTCCCCAGAGCCTTCGATCCCGGCTCTGAGCAGCCAGCTAATCCGTGCCTGTGGTACTTCCATTCGCGACACGGGAGATGAACTCATGACGATTTTGCGAGCAAGCAGCAAAGACGAAAACAAACGAGACCTGCACATTGCTCTCATTATTCTCATTGTCATCGTGGCCGGACTGATGGCTCTGGGAATGAGCGGAGAAAAATCTGTCCACCACCACCATTGGGATTACTTCAACCCACCCGGCAGCAGCGGGAACGCCTAAGAACACAAATCATGTTGTGATAAGACCCACAATACCGATAAGGCGCTTCCATCGATTGATAACCATTGCTTCTTGGATGAAGATACCTACTTGTTCACACCGCTTTTTACTATTATAGATTTTTCATAGCATCAATATGGAATTGTTAGCTCTTGTCTTAATGCATCGTGTTAATCTTAGAAGATCGTTAATTTTATTTAAAAAAAAATCTACAATCTGCATTTGAGCGTTTACTTAACATTAGAACTCGATCATAAACTTGTTAAATTATATTTATTTCACCACCTACTATTTACTAATCATTGTCAATTTCTCACAGCGCACATAAGCCCGCACATTGTTACACTGTACTGCACTTTCTAACAAAGTTCTAGGACAATTTCTTTGGAAAATGAATCGAAGTTTTTTTTTTTTGCTAAATTTGTACAGTAGAAGCTAATATCGAAAGCCAATACGAACTTCAAATAAATAACACACATGGTTCGAAAACCACGAGTTTCAGTGCTAGTCAAAGAATGTATATAGGGAGTAAAGATCTGGATATCCGACCCTTCATTGTTAATTTATTTGTTTTTGTATCATAATCACATTTCGAGAGAGAAATAATAAACTTTTTTTGGCAAATTAGAACCACTGATTGAAGTAGACTTATATCACAGCATCTGGAAGTAGTGTGGGCAGAGTGACCCACTAGGGATGTTTACTCATGTTGGTAAATAAAATTCTCAGGATTTTTCAGGACCATCAACTAAATTTCCAAGCATGCAAAGGTATCATTTTTACATTTTTAAATTAATAGGATTGTTATATGAATTCCAGTTATCAATCCGAAAATACCGCTCCACGACATATGTTCATCCTCGCCAGCAAGGGTGTCAAATCCGCGTCAAGGGAAAATATTTAATTTATAATTCAGATTCCCCCAGAAATGTGTTTTTTTTTTTTGCAAGGAGGAAACCTTCAAAAGGCCATCCACAGCTTGACGACCGGACGCACGATCGCGGTGACACGGTGGGATTCTTACCGCACTAAAACCTCCTTGTATGCCGCCTTGCCCTTTTTCCCCCAGAACCACTTGCCATATTACTTCGGAGAGGGCTGTGCATTACGCACCTCACTTTACCTCAGCTAACTGGCGCTTTCACTTCGCTGATCGTCTCTCCAATTTGTGAGCCATTCAGCTCCCAGCGTCGCGTTCTACTCAACTAACCCCCGGCGGAGGATTCAGCCTACTCTGACGGAGAGTTCTCCCGCTTTCGTTTTTCACTTCGCACTTGTGTGAGCAAATTACTACTTTCTAGCTGGTCTTCTCGCCATTTTCGCTGCACCGCTGACATGATCTGCGTTACTGCTCTGCTGACGGCGTTAAAGATGCCCTCCTATCGACACATTTCTTCGACGACATTCTCCGCACTAAGGGCGAGCATATCCTCTCGCACAGCATCAAATCTAGGACATTCGAAGACCACGTGCTCTGGTGATTCTTCCACATTCCCACAATCCGGACAGAAGGGTGACGTTGTGTGTCCGAACCAATGCAGGTACTTCCTGAAGCAGCCATGACCAGACAAGAACTGCGTCAATTGGAAGTTGACTTGCTTCCTGTTCACCCAGGTCGAAAGAATCGGTATTAGCCTGTGTGTCCATCTACCGTTCTCTACCGTTCAATCCTGCTGCCACTTAGCCATCGACACCGTTCTCACAATTTTTCGTACTCCTCTGGTTTCGCTCGTCATATAGCACTCGTAGTCCTCCGCCAAGGTGATGCCGATTGGGATCATACCGGCGATAACGCATACTGCCTCCATCGAAATGGTTCTGTACGCACTCACGACCCGCATGGCCATGAGCCGGAACGTACTGCTCAATTTCCTTTGGTTCTGCTTCGTTTTCAGCGCTTCAATCCAGGCTGAACCTCCGTACCTTAGTATCGATGGGGACACACTAGCCAGAAGACGCCTCTTGCTGCAGCTTGGACCAGAATTGTTCGGCATGATTCTGGCTATTGCCGCCTTCTCGCAAGCATATTCGATGTGGCTTTTAAAGATTAGCCGGTCGTCGATCATCACTCCCAGATACTTCAGCACGCGCTTCGAAACAATGGTGTGCTCTCCAACGGTGATTTCTGCCCACTGCACTGCTTTGCAGTTACTGTCCAACATCACTTCTGTTTTGTGGTTGGGCTATCTGCAGCTTTGATCCTTGCATCCAGTTACCAATCGTATCTATCGCCTCGGCCGCCAGCATTTCCACTTCTTCCAGCGTCTCCCCGGTTACCATCAAGACGACATCGACATCTACACCGACTTCAGTCACCACCGGTTGGTGGTCGGAGCTGAGATCGTTGTGCGCCTCCGGCTTGGATAGTACGATGTTTGACAGGAAAAAGTCCAGGGTGGACGGATTTCCCGCCGGAGAGATAAAAGTTGGTTCGTCCGGAAACTGCACAGTGTACAGTCCATGTTGTGCGTGGTCGAACAATAGACATCCATTCCGGTTCCGCTGGTAGTTCCGCCAAGCTTCATGGCGGGCTTTCATGTTCATGTTCATGTCGCCCCCAACGATGAATCGGGAGCTAGTACGGGTGATGGCGGTCAGGTCGTTCTTGAATTGAGTTCCTAGTCCATTGTTGGCGGTGCACTGGCGTGGGCAGTAAACAGCGATAAACCTGACGTTTCCAGTTGGTGATTCCACCTCCACACTAACGGCCTCGATGATAGAAGTGCGGACGTGGGACAGAGTGCAGAACTTGATTCCCTTTCTGACGATGACCGCTACACCACCTGGAGCTGGTGCGATCAGGCAACCAGAAGCTGTCGCCGGACTTTAGATGGGTCTCGGTTAGAAGGCCTACGTCGATGCTGTGCTTGCGAAGGAAGTCGGCAAGCTCAATCTGTTTTGCTTTTACAGAGCAAGCGTTCCATGTAGCGATGGTTAGCGGTTTAGACACCATACTGGATGATGAACTTACCGAGCACTTGGATCTGTTCGGGCTTATTGCGGCACTTACGAAGAGCACCGGACATGTTGACGAAAATTTCCATCAGTTCATCCGCTGAGAACAGATCGGGGTTGTTGTTTTGCGCTGATGGTTGTCTCCAGAATCCAGGAGGGGATGGAGAGCTTTGGCCAGCAGAATCACCAGAAGTTGCTTGAGCGGAATGCACCCGCGAATTCTCTTGCCTTTGCTGAGGAGCACGAAGAGGCGGGAAATCCTCCGTCCGAAATGCCGGGACTTTGTCCTTCTTGTGTCCTGGTTGGTTGTTAGTTGCCGCCTGTTTTCGGATGCGTTTGAAGTCCAACCCGCAGTCGGAAGTGGCGTGGTCTTGAGCGCAATTGCCACAGCGTGGCTTAATGTTGCAGTTGCGGGTGCCGTGTCCAAAGTTCAGACACCGTTGGCACTGAGTCGCATCACGATGGCCGCCACGGTATGGCTCCCAGCGGACGATGATGGAATTGATGGAGCGGATGGCCTTCAGCGCGTTGAGCGTCACCGTTCCCTTCTGGAAGTGTACCAGGAAAAGGCTATCCGGATACGCCTTCACATTTTCGTCCTTCCTTGTCATCCGATAGACGGCACTTGGGGCCAGCTTGTACCGGTCTCTGACTTCAGCTTCGATAAACTTCGGGTCGAAGTTTGGTAGGCCCCTAATGACGACCTTGAATGGCTTCTCACCGGGAATATCGTGGGTGAAGAATTCCACCTTGGAAGTCCTCAGGTGGGCGACGACCAAGTCATACTCCGCTTTGGTACGGAGCACCACCTTGGTGCCGACTCTGCCCAACTTGTATTCGGCTTTAACGCCCAGCGTCGCTAGATCTGCGATGAGCCGGTTTTAGTTTGGGTGATTGCCGATGGAGGAACATGATCGCTTGTGTTTTGGAGGCATTGATTTTTTTTTCCACGTGGTGGCATAATCAGCAAAGGCGTTAAGGCATCGTTGAAGTTTGTTCGTTATTTCGCGAGGCATCCTTCCTTTGACGGCTATTGCGGTATCATCTGCGAACAGGAAGAACACGCAACCGTCACCGAGGGGAGGAATGTCGGAAGCATAAATGCTGTAAAGCAAGGGGCCCAGCAGACTGCCTTGCGGGACACCTGCTGGGATGGAAAACGTGTCTGAAAGACAACCATTCAACGATACCTTAAACGACCTTTGCTGGAGGTAGCTACGGGTAATTTTAACCAGATGTAAAGGAAGGTTGAAGTTACAAAGCTTGTACACAAGTCCATCATGCCAAACATTGTCAAACGCCTTTTCAACGTCTAACAAGGCCATGGCTGTGGACTTGGATACAGCTTTGTTCCCTCTTATTATGCGAGTCACGTGACTCTCTCTCACCGGTGAGGTGACAATAGTCACCTCGTGTGAGGTGACTCTCCATTTGATTTACATGGAGAGTCACCTCACACGAGGTGACAATTGTCACCTCACCGGTGACAGAGAGTCACGTGACTCGCAGAATAAGGGGGGTTACTTCGGATGTTATTCATCACCCGTACTAGCTGATGATTGGTGGAGTGCCCCTTTCTGAATCCAAACTGTTCCGAAAGGAGAATGTTGTTTTCCTCGACAAACTTGTGCAAACGATTGAGAATCAGTTTCTCGAACAATTTGCTCAGCGCTGAAAGGAGGCTGATTGGTCTGTAGCTTGAAGGCAATGTTGGATCCTTACCGGGCTTGGTGATGAGCTAATGCCATACAGCAGCGCTCTTTTATATCTTTTCAGGTTAAAGCAGAATGATGTGCAACCAAGTAGTATAAAAGCTACAAAGACTCCTCCCATTATGAGTAGTTAGTTTGCAAGTAGCGACACTGGCTCTTTTCCTTTTGCGTACACGGCGAATGAGAACGACCCAAATTTGAGTTTAGTTCACTCATAATCGCCAAAAGTGCAGGAACTCAGCGATGAGTAAATTTGTCTCATGGTTTCCTGTGGAAAACCTAAAAAATCTGCCAGAAAATGAGGAAATTGACGAAAATTTTATTCAGCCTCGGAGTAGTACCAATAGACTGAGTGAATCCAATCTTTACTTTTCTCAAATTCGGAAATTTCCTGGAAAACCCTGGGAAAACATGAGACAAATTTACTCATCGCTGAGTTCCTGCACTTTATTTCTTATTTCTGAGATAACTAAGCTCAAATTTGGGTAGTTCTCATTCGCCGTGATATCACCTTGAAAGATATCGGCGCCGGTGTTTAGCGTGATTACCTCTCACCCCAGCAGGCCTGGGTCCAATCTCAGTCGGCGCTACCGGCATATTCTAAGGCATAACATCTCTATTCACGCCTTCCTTCGGGAAGTAAAGCCGTCCGTCCCCGGTTGAGTTGATGGGTCGATTGGTAGGGTCCAGGTGTGGGAGCTGCCTCCCTGGCGTCGGTAGCATTGGAGCTCAGTACGGAAAACAAATTTCGCGTCACTTTTCAATAGGTCCTATCTACATTGATCGATTCTCTTCATCGACACTCTCTTTCGTAAATAAGTCGGCTTCACAAATGTTTCCTGCAGTCTTCGTCGAATTTGATGCTAGATTGTTGCTTCTTCCATCGAAAATATCCGGCCGTGGCGATTCAAAGTTGATCAAAATAATTTGTACCCCTGCTTCCAGTTTGATTACATGAGCATTTTGTGTGATCGTTGGTTTTGAATATGGACAAACAGGCAGATGAATTCTATTCCTACTCTTTACTATAATAAGCTTGGTGACCCTGAAAAAAACCCTGGTGAAACCTCCAAAACCAAACAGAGAGCGTCTCTGTTACTTCAAAACGTAGATGACATCCATGGCCGCTCACGCTTGGCGTGTTTAGTGTAGGTGATAGCATCACGGATCTCATTTTTCAGGAACACCTTCAGCACACCTCGCAAATCAGACCGGAGATACATCAGACACCACCACGGCAAGCCAGACGACGGATGGTAGTTATCTCGAAGAATTTGCGTTTGGTTCTGAATATGGCGATGAGTGTGCAAAATATTACGCAATTCCATCCTCCCTATTCGCACGCGCCCGATGACCGAAGGCGAATACCACTTCGACTTGTTTCATCTACTTACTACTCTCTGACGACTGTGCTGGGGAAGCAACATATGCATGTAGGTAATTGGTGGATTTGTTAGTTAATTCGACGCTTTTGGACAATGCTGGACATTTACCAGTTTTTCAATAGTTTCTTGTTGAAAATCAACATTCGGAAGCATTGTGATCGATGCGTAGCCATATTTCTGATCGATTGGTGATAAAATTATTGAAATTGGACCAGGGGCAGCTGAGTTATTAACGTTCAAAATCTTTCTTAATTTGTTACATGTTCCATTTTCGGTTTACACAAAGTGTACCCCCATATAGAAATTAAAGACGTAGCCCTACGTCAAAAATTAAAAAAAAACTATAATTTGCTGTTAAATAAATCCAGTGGCCGGAGAATGTTCATTTTAAAATCCCCGGTTTTCAACGTTGCAAATAAAAAAAAAAATACGGTTGTTCATATTCAGCAACAAACGAAAGTGTTCAGTAAATTTGGGATTTAAGAAAACCTCCAAGATTGCCTTCAACATATGTTTGAAGTCTTAGACTACGATCACACGAGTGGAACTTCGGATCAGAAAGTGGGTCCACTTGTCATTTGCGAACACTAGCGCACCTAGCGGTAGATGGCATCTTCTACCTGCAGTTAAGATAGGTAGCATGCTATGATAGTGTGAGTGCACATAGAAAGCCCATGCGGAAAGCTACCACAACAAATTGCTTGTTGAGCAGAAAAACGAACCACTTTTTGATTCATCGATTTGTTTACACTTCCCCTTCTGTTCTGTGCTACGATATATTTTCGTGAGCATTATAAAAATGTTTGCACTTCTAGATTAAGAAAAAGTCAATCATGGATCAAGATCCCATCGCCCCCCCCCAGATTCCACTCTGAAAGCTTTGAAGGCATTGGAACTTGTACGGACTTTGATGGATCTAACGTACCAGCACCATATTTGACGCGTTCCTAAGGATGACGAACAAGTCTATTTTTCATCGCATCTCGATTATGACAAGATACCTATTTTAAAAAAAAATTGTTACACTATTATGCCTAGAGCACTGGAACTAATACAGTCAAGATTCATATAGTACGGATTCGTTCTTGCCGGATTCCTATAGTACGGGTGCCACTGGATTCCTATAATACGGTCGATCCGGCATTAACGAATACACGTACCATATGGGATTTGAACTAATTGGAACCAAACACTGATTGTACGGCAATTTGAAGAGATAACTTCCTGATGTCTTTGGAGAAGTTGTTCAGCAGATTCCACCTTTTGAGAATAATCCGTTTCCGGTAGGTCACAAGTCGGGCCCTGTGGAAGATCCGGAATGAAACTGATCCTAGAACTCATACACTTCTTATCAGAATGAATTCGATGTTATGACCGCAATATGGACTCTGCAGACTACGGGATGGCCCTCCGCAAAATTCGGAACATCCGGTCGTAAATCCGGTCGTTTTACGCATCCGTAAAAGTGTTCAATTCATGAAACTGATCCTAGAGCTCCGCGGTTTTTTTTTCGACACCATTCATAGACGTGTCTTATAACGATGAATTCGAGATGTGACCAGAAAATTGACACTAGGGACCACGGGATAGCCCCCTAAAAGAACCGAAACATCCATCAAAGTGGTTAATTCATGAAACTGATCGTAGAGCTCCGCGGTTTCTTAAAAACCGCTCATAGACATCTTATCAGAATGAATATGGAGTTATGTTCGGAATATGAACTCTGGAGACTACGGAATGATACACCAGTAGATTCGAAACATCGTTTCGTATTAGGGACTGTTCATTAACTACGTAGACACTTTTTAAGGATTCTTGCCCCCACCCCTTCCTTCCCCTGCGTAGACATTTAACCATACATTTTTTTTTCAATTTGTATGGGTCGTGGATTATTTTCCAACTCAATTTATCGCAGAAGTTCTGGAAAATTCTTCGAAAGTTCTCCGAAAAACTCAAAAAGATTTAGCGGTGATATTCAGCTACGATACCGAAAAAGCTATATATTTGTGTTTTACTGTATCAAGTTTATTGTAAGATATTCATAATCCTATTATACGCATTTTATAGACACGGTATTATTAGTTAATAAAGGCAACTGCATAATGTTGAAATTAAACCTCTCAAAATTTCAAAACTAAGTATAGTTGTAACAGTGCGGTAATCACCAATATACAATTCACTAATTTATTTGTATGATTTTGCATGTCTTGTTAGGCATAGTTGACTGTATTTTTTAAATAACTAAGACGCACAAACCGAGTAATAAGCATTTAGATTGAAATGGTTATTTGATACTGTTTATCCGAAGTTGTGAACTCACACAAAAACCAAAAAGTTATCAAATCATGCTCCAGATATTTTTACAGCGCCTCAAAGAGTTTCATACTTCATGGTGGCAAAAACTTACCAATTCCTTCGACATATTTAGAATATATCATCATGATCGTAACACACTAGTTCACGATTATCTTTGTGTTTACCCTTTTGTGATCGATTTGTCGCTGAAATAAAAAAAATAAAAAACCATTTTTTAGGCAAAACTGTTGAATTTGAATGGTTTTAATATTTAGGGGCGATCCATTGAGTACGTCACGCTCTAAGGAAAGAGGGAAGGTGGGTTACAAATGTGTGACAAGCAATGCATAAGGTATAGGGAAAACGTGACGAAACGGGGTTGGTGGATGAATTTTTCCTGAATTTCGCGTGACGTACTTAATGCATGCTTCCTTAGAGACCGACCTAAAGCTGACCACGTCGCCGAAGATCCTGCATCGTTGATTGGGTTTATCTGCGGTTGTCGTCTTGCCAGCTGAACCTGCAGTGCGATTCCTCCTACAGTTTTGCTGTGAACCTGAAATTAAAAAAATAACCGTCAACACACGTCTACTTTTCTCCCAGACACACCAGAATTACCTCGCTGATTGCACGATCAGCCGACTCGGTTTTTGAAAACGTAATAAATCCCCTGCCCTTTTCAATTTCCATAGAAATGTTCAATATTTCACCGAACTCGACAAAATGCTTTTTCAGGAAGTCCTCCGTCACTTTGTTGCCGGAAACGTATACCGTATTGCCGGAACGAGGCTTGTCGCGGGGTGAGTCTCCAGCTTTACCTGCTTGTTCCTCTTTATCGCGTTCATTTGCAAACTGCTGGTATAGATTTTGCACGCGAGCCGGATCTTTCTCCGTTGGCGTATCGGGACTAGTAGGTACAACCGGATTGGCGGGAGATGTTTCAACTGATGAAAACGATTGATACGACTGAGTACCGGGACTGGATTCTTGATGTGATCTTTTCCGTTCCTGTCCTAAAAAAGATTGTTGATCACGGTTAGAAATTTCTTAATTATTCTCACGGAACAAACAATCGCAACATTTACCTTTGGGACGTTTGAAAGAACTCTCCTGTTTGAGCTGTGGTTTCTGAATGGCTTGTATAGCTCCGCTTTTGATAAGTTTTCTGGCAACTTCCCGAGCATCACGAGCATCTGCCGGTCGCTTTGGAATTAGATTCTTCTCCGGTTCCTGCTTAGGTGCCTTCAAGGCTTGGAGTGCCTTTTTCTATCACAATTTTAAAGATTCAAATGATCCGCAGCTCTTGAAAGTAAACACCAAACGGACTTACCTTTTTCTTCAACTTGGCATATTTTGTCTGGAGCATAAGCTCTTCTTCAGTTAAATTTGATGGAAAATGTATGTAAACCATTGTGAAAATGGATAAATTAATATTTTGTAAAACTTATTTACCAACACCTCACTGCAAACCGACGCTGACGATCACTCAAACTACACGGTAATCGCAAAAAACTCTTTTATGACTATAAAGTACACATTTCAGTGCCAACATTTCAAAGGGGCGTAATTGCATTTGTAAACAATGGCTTTAGCCGTCGATTTCTCGTGAATAAAAGCTCACTCATGAAAAATAATGACACCAGCAGGTAGAGAGATGTTTCCTCTACCAGTTAGCATTGTCATTTTGGAGAGGTAAGATTTCATTCGCGAGAAATTGACGACTAAAGCCATTGTTTACAAAAGCAATTACGCCCCTTTGAAATGTTGGCACTGATTTTTGAATGAAAACGGGACTACCCACAAAATGAGTAAAATTTTACACATTTATGAGTAATTACTAGTACAAAAATGAATAAATTTTATGCATTTATGAGTACCAGATACTCATAAAATGTGTAAAAAATACACACATTTTAGGTGTAGTCCCGTTTTAGCCGAATATGCATACTTTATAGTCAAAATTGAGTCCTTTATAGTCATTTTTGCGTACTTTGCGGTTTCCGTGTACGCGTCAGCATATACGGGCCTCTACTGTTGTCTGTCAGAGTAAACACGCTATTTCAAAACTACCCAAATTTGGGTAGAATCCAACTAGATCGGTCAAAAATGAACCTGCCCAAAAATTTTAAATTGGCTCACTACACAGTTAGAAAATATACCCAAAATTAAGTTTTTTTCACTCATCTCGGCATTATAGTGCAGGAACCCAAAAGTAGGTAAAGCGGGTCAAAGTAATTTTCATTTACTTGTGTGCAGTTCGTATGGAATTTTCCACTAGCTTTTTAACCAAAAGTAGGTAAATATGATTATACTCAACGTTGGGTTCCCACACTTTACTACCCCTGTTGGGTGGTTTTGCTCCTCCGTTTTTGACAACATTAGAAGGAGAAAAGGAGACAAACTAGTCAAAAGTAGGTAAAAGTGAACTGGTCGTTGGGTGCTTTTTTCTTACCGTGTACTTGACTAGCCTACACGGTAACCGCAAAATGCCCAATAATGACTACAAAGTAAGCATTTTCGAGGGAGACTGGGACTACCCATTATATGAGTAAAAATATTACCCATTTATGAATATGTGTTACTCAAAAATGAATACTTACTACTTGTTTTTGTAGTTGTAATTACTCATAAATGGGTAAAATTTTACTTTTTTAGTCCCAGTTTCCCTCGAAAATGCTTGCTTTGTAGTCATTATTGGGTATTTTGCGGTTACCGTGTATAGAGATTAGTGACGTTTAACGCACGCACACTAGTGGGAGCAGCGCCGTGTAATGTTGTTTATTATTTTCCTCTGGCTAACCTAAAAAATGTACACTCAGAGATAAATTAAATCAAAACAGCTTAAAATTAGCGGTGCCGGTGGTGTAGTGGTAAGCGTGATTGCCTCTCACCCCAGCAGGCCTGGGTTCAATCCCAGTCGGCGCCGCCGGGATATTCTGAGGCATAACATCTCTGATCACGCCTTCCTTCGGAAGGGAAGTAAAGCCGTTGGTCCCCGGTTCATGAGTTGATGGGTCGATAGGTAGGGTCCAGGTTTCGGAGCTGCCTTCCTGGCGTCGGTAGCATTGGTGCTCAGCACGGAAAACAAGATCGACGGAAAACAAATCAAGGAAAAAAAAAGCTTAAAATGTATGCAGATTTCCGCTTAACCTTATTGAGTCCGAGCCATGATTACTTCGGCAGTAGCAAAGATATTTCATTAACAAGATATTCCTCGAACAAGGCAATGGATACACCACCTTTATGTGATCGCAGTGCCATCTCGTGAGTGCACATTGAAACTGTTGGGAGTCCCCCGCCAACTTCACCACTAAGTTCTTTTCACTCATTTCCCATGTTCCGTTCAATAAGCTAATTTTCAGTAAACCGCTTATAGTAGTTTGCATTTGGCTACGGCAAAAATAATTACTTATTTGTGTGTATTTTCTACCCAAAATTGAGTTCAATTGACTCAAATTGGAGAATATCTCATATACTCACTAGTAGCTTATTGAACGATAGTCATGAGAAAGTCGAATCTCTCGTTCCGTTTTTGACAACAACAAAAAGTGCGAGTGGGATGCAAAACTCAAAATTACCCAAAATTAAGTAAAAAGAACTTAAATTTAGGGTAATTTTTTTTCTCTGCGTAGGATGATCGATGTCATCATCATTATATCACCGACAAACCGACATGACACTTAATTTGGACTTATGCCCGAAATTCGTAAATGGTCGATTTAAATGTTCAGTGATCCGAACTTTCAAAACCATAGGATTTTTTGATCTAGATAAAAATAATTTGTCCAGAATAGATCAGACACGAACCAATTCATATTTTTTGCATGCGGGTTCATGGCTTATCTAAATGTTTCCGGCGAACACGGAGCCAGATGTCAGTAGTGTGCTTTGGTCAGAAATTTTATTGCTTTTGCTATGGTCATTCATGTCGGTTTGTCGGTGATTATATTGCGATAGCAAGATTCTCACTTCGTTATGATTGCATCGATTTTCAATCGTTACCTCGATCATTACCCCGTTATACGTATCTGAAACGCTTGAGAAAACAATCACTAATCCAAGCTCACTTTATAATGGACTTGTAATATGTTTTGCTATCGAGTGAACGATTTTCCAATATCACCAATATTTCCTTTATTTAACATCGGGCTCTGTTCCACAATCTAGTGCCAATCACCGACGGACATCGATTGCCATCCATTGACGGCAATCGAATATGCAGGAAGGCAGCTTCCACACCTGCGTAGGATATCGCACTCATTCAACACACATGGGCCGGGACCAACGGCTTTACTTCCCTTCTGAAGGAAGACGTGACCAGAGATTTTTATGCCTCAGAAAAATCCCACCGACCTCGGCTGGGATTGAACCCAGACCCATCGGGGTGTTAGAAAGCAGTCACGCTTACCACTACACCACCGGCGCCGGCCAAAACAAACATTGTCTAGTACTAGAATTTTGACTACAATGGGGTACGTTAATCGATTTGCTGAGAAAAAGATTGATGACGATTCTGAAGATTTCTTGCAAAAAGATGATGAGCGATGCAAGTAAATGCGAGCAATGAAAGAATTTTTTTCAAAGATTAATTCGCTAGTGTGAGATATGTTGAGCATCTATAATTGAGATTTAGATGTGTCGCCTCCTCAACAATATGGGTATTTTTGGAATCGGTATGACGTGTAGAGTTCGGAAATCCATATCTGACGCCTTTTCAAAATCCAAATGGTGGTTTCCAGTTAGAGAAAAATATAAAAATACTGTGAAATATCCCTCAATATGGGTATTTTTGGAATCGTGTTGATATGTAGATACCGGAAATTCATGTCTGACGCTATGTTGAAATCCAAGATGGTGGCTTTTTGTAGAAGAAAAACTTGGAAACACTGTCAAATACACAATGTCAATACAAATACACAATATGAGTATTTTTGGAATCGGGTTGACATGTATATAGAGATCTCCAAGCGCAATCTCACGAACACTAAAATCCAACATCCATACGTAAAAACGAAGAAGAAGAAGAAACAAAAAGGTATCGCGATATCACAACTACTTAAAAAGGTAGCGCGCGGTCTCACGCACACTTTTGTGCATCTGGAGAACTCTATAGGGTCCAGAAATCTATGTCTGATGCTATTTTGAAATTCAATATGGCGGCTTCCGGTTACAGAAAAACAGAAAAATACAGACGGGTTCTCCGTCCATACACGTCACTCCGATTCCAAAAATACCCATATTGGACAGAATTTTCAAGTTTTTCGCTAACGGAAAGCCACCACATTGAATTCAAAATGTCGTCAGCCATGCATTTCCGGTCTTTACACATCACCAAGATTGCAAAAATACCCATATTGAGGGGTATTTCATAGTATTTCTCAATTTTTCTGTAACTGGCAGCCACCATCTTGAATTTAAAAAAGGCATTAGATTCCGTCACGTCACCAAGATTCCTAAAATACTCATAAGGTGGTGTATTTGACATAATATCCCAGTTTTTATTTAAACGGAAGCCGCCATCTTGGATATCAATATGGTACCAGGCATGGATTTCTGGTCGTCACTCCGATTCCAAAAATACAAATATTGTGAGGTATTTGAGTAAGTTTTTCTCTATCATGAAACCCCCCTATTGAACGGCTTCAGACATCGATTTCCGGTCCCTACAAGTCACCCCAATTCTAAAAAATATCTAAAAATATTGAGGATAATGTCCCTAATAAAAAATAACCATAAACGAACGATAACCCAAATCATTGAACTATTCCAAAAATGGTTTGGATGATACCCAGAACACGTCGTTAAGCAAATTAACCATACAATTTTTATTAGGGGTTGCAGTAATTTATTTAACCGGAAGCTGGCATATTGAATTCAAAATGGTGTGAGACATGGGTTTCCAGTCCTTACACTTCACCAAGATTTCAAAAATACCCATATTGAGAGGTATTTGACATAATTTTCAAGTTTTTCTTCAACCGGAAGCCGCCATATTGAATTTCACCATAGTCGCAGACGATTTCCGGCCCTTACACGTCACCCCGACTCCAAAAATACCAATATTGTGGGATACTTGACAAAATTATTAAGTTTTTCTCCAACCGGAAGCCACCATCTTGCATTTCAAAACGGCCTCAGACATCGATGCCCGGATACACGTCACCCCGATTAAAAAACATCTGGTCATATCTAAAAAACTATTTGTCCAATACATTTGCCCTTGGAAACACATCAAGCAGAAGATTTTTTCGAAGTGTGGTGAAAATTTGAGCCCAAAATATTAAGAAATAAAAAATCCCGCCCATGGTGAAAATAGGCCATTTTTTAATAATGATGATAACTTCAGGGAAATGTGAAGAACTTCATACCTGTGGCGTGTTGAGCTGTTGAATATTTCCAGAAGAATGATCATCATATATCATTTGGTGTTTATACCCCGTTCACATTACAACCTA